ACGTGGTCTACTGAAAAATGTCCCTGCCAGGGGGCAGGGGCATTCAACTAGATGATCTTTAAAGGTCCCTTCCAACCCAAACCATTCTACGATTCTACCAGGATCTAAATGGTTTGGTGTTTAAACCACTAAACTTTAGTCAATAACCATGTGGTAGTTTTTCAACTGAGCGTGATTTCAAGCCCTTCTTCAGCAGTGTTTGTAAGGCAGCAGAGTGACAAAGAACTTGGCAGGGAGAATAGACAGGGGTGTGCTGCCTTCTTTGACACCCTCGTCCAAAGAAAAGGGTGGACTTCCACTGTAGGGATTTCTCCACACAGCAGAAGAAATGTAGACTCCATATACTGTAAACAAACACTATTAATAATAATTTTGAAAAAAAAGGAGCCATCATATGATTTTGGACTTTAGCACTGATAGTATTAAAGTTTTCTGAATGTGGACCTCAGCTGTATGCTGGATATTAAAGATTTGTATTAAATCTGTAATTTTCTTTTCTGTTTTTCTTTACAGTTTAATGTTTGCATTGAAAAGAAAAAAATAAGATTGGACAAAGACATTTAAAAAACTACCCTGTGCCTCTAATTATTAGAGAACAAATCTGCAAGTTAAGCATGCCTTGTAGCTTGTAATTTTCAAATATCAGGGGCAGCAAATGAACACTGGTAAGGCTGCCTGCTGGCTAGGGCAGTAAGAGCTTTTCTCAGCTAGAAGCTATTCCTCCACACAGCAAATCCTTCCCTCCCTGCTACAGAATGTGAGAGGAAATAAATAGGTCAAGCTCGTGGTGCTAAAGCACTCTGAGTTTGCAACCACAAATAAAATTAATTTACAACAATTAAATAGAGACATGTTGTTCAAAAAATTAATAATACTAATCCTTTCTACTTTTCCAGTTTTTCCTAGTGCTTCTTCTGCTACGGGTGCTTTACCGTGTTGTGACTGAGTGTAAAAAAAGAAACCAGCACCAAGAACTGATTAGCAACCCTACAATAACAAAACAGCAGCCTTGCAGGAAAAAGGGAAACATTATCTGATTTAAGTTTCCAGGGGAGCATTAGGAAAAGCTTCAATTAAAATTATTTTCTAAAAGCCTTGAAAATTCAGCAACACTGTTTCTTTTTAATTAGCTACTGTGATCCACCCTCCTGCTAAGTCAACATTGCCTAGACTCTCAGGGAAAATGAGGACAATCCTATCTATGTGCAATTTGTAGACTGAATCCTTCTTCCAACTCTCCTTACACCATAATTTTATAGTTGGCTTACCACAGCAAAGGTGTACTTACAAAACAAATCATACATGTATCATCACAATAATTAGAACTCTTTTCTATTGTGTTTCCAGATGTTATTAGAAAACGGAACAAAAAACTTTGCACAAAATATCTTTCTCCACACTCAGAGAAATTAACTGAACTAGGTGGCACAACACAAAGTTTCTATTCATAAAGCAGCTATTAATTTTACAGCCTTTCCAGCTCCTTTGTGCTCCTTTTTTCAGTGGTGAAAAAGAGATTTAAGCAGGTTATTTGTGCTAGAGTAAAAAACTATTATTTCTACACTCTCTTCCCCAACATTTGATCCAGCCCTGTGGACAGCTTGGCAGAAGAAGAGAATCCAATTTTTGGACTTTATGTACTGCACTTGGCACATCTGGAACGCGCTTTACTGGGACAGGACATTGGAAAAGAGTCAGCAGACCTGGCTCGGGCATTCACAGATTGCATGGCCTCAAGCAACTCATTTGCCTTTTGTGCCCGACCTTTTTTTTATGATATACCATACCATATGATGTCATTCTCAGCAATAAAACATGGGGTGGGCTGGAGTGGGGTGTGTGTCCAAAGTAGCCATTGCTTGGGGACTGGCTGGGCATCAGTCTGCGGGTGGGAGGTGGTGAGTCATTGCCTTTGCACCACTTTTTCTTTTTTTATTCTTCACTTACTAAACTCGAGCCAGTTTTTTTTCCCCTCGCTTTAGCCCTTCCGATTCTCTCCCTGTGCTGCTGTGGGGAGTGATTGAGTGACAGGGTGGGGGCTTCCCTGCCAGCCAGGGACAATCCACCACAGCCTCAAACTGTTGTAGGCCATGGACGTGCATTTAGAAAGCATCACTGTATGCTTGCTCTGTTCTTCTGGTCTGCTATATCAGCTACACGTTTATCCATTTTATTTATTACCAGAGCCAGGGTACAGGCTATGTGAACAATTGGTCTTGCCCAGTACAGCCATTCTGTATTCTTACATACTTACTCCAGTAACCAGCTGTGCGGCATTGCTTGATTTCTGCCGTTATTTCACAATTCATTTTCACGTGCTGGTAACTGTTTTTCAGTAGCGGTTGGAGTCAGGGCTAGATCCTGACTCCAGGATCTACTGAGATCAGCTTTTCTTTATATAGAAAAACATATGTCTTCCTTATGAATGCCTCACAAGCTGCTCAAAGCAAAATTCAGAGGAGTTTTAACAAATTTACAGGAAGTTTTTAGCACAGTGCTAGGAACTTGAGACAAATGAAATTGCTCCTTGTTTCAATGGAGTTTTACCAACAAAACTTACCTCCACTTAAACTGTAGTCAGCAGGGATGCAGGTCATTACAGCAAGAATATCCAATCCCTTCAGTATAATTCTGTTTTTCACTTAGTTTTACAGCTGTGGTTATATACATGTTCACTTGCTTTTCCTCATTCAGAAAATTCATTCTCCATACGGGATGGGCAGCTTTTGAACTGTCCAATACTTGCTTACCTATGCACTGGTTTTCTGTAGCTTTTGATACTCATCGTGACCGATATGGTGGTGTTCTCCTTCGATGACAGGCAGCAAGGTGCCAATCTGCAAGAAAACATTGCACCCCAGATCTCTTTTCATGTATTCTGACTCCGGTTTTCCAGCTGACATCGAAAGCAGTAAACAACTGTGGTTAGTTGCTAAGCTGGTTGGATTGTCCACTCCCACAACCAAAGGCTGTACCTAAAGCTGCTACCCACAGTTGCTTGCCCTATCAATGAAAGCCACCCTGGAAATCAGGGAGAGGAGAAGAACAGATAAATGACTTGTCTTCCCAGTGCGCATGGAAGCCTAAAGAGACTTAACCCTCTGAGACAATGGCCAAGTTTGGTACTTAACTCTGGATGTGAATTTATGGACATTATAGGACATTCTCCCACCATCCCTCCCTTTCCAGCAACCCCCTGAAGACTGAAGGTCTTAAAGGACCACTCTCAAAGAAACTCCAGGATAGTTGGGAAGATGTGAGGCTGTCTCAAGGAAGACCAGCACCTGTCAGCCTGCACTGATGAGGTACTGTAGCGAGACATCATCCACTTGAAGCACTGGTATCATAACGATACTGGATATAAGGGTAATGCTTTTCTGAAGGCAGCCTTAAGCAGGTATACTCAGGGGACATGCCCATGCTGGAAGGGACTGGCCTTATCCTAACAGCAATATTTAGGCTGAGGTGATCAGACATTGATTACAGAAGATGTGGATAAGAGGACTTATTTCTGGATACTTGACTCAGTCTATGGCTGGAGCAAGATCTTCTTCACCTGCGCCTTTACTGCCTTAGGAGGTTCAAAGCAGGAAGAGAGTAGGTGGCTCTGAGACCTATAATGGATGCAAGAGAGCAAATTTAGTTGCTATGCTTGGATCTAGATTTGCACACACAAAAGTGGACAGAGATTTATGGTCTCTCCTTCACAGGATGGGTCTGAATTTCAGTATCCTCTTAGAAGAAGAGGAAGTTAAAACTACAGTTGAATCTATGGTTTCTCCAAATAAGAGATGAATAAACCCAATACTTAGAGGGGGAAACAGCTATAGAGTAAAAACCCCATCGGTCTGCTGGAATTTGGCAGAGAGAAACCATTTGAGGACTGAAAGCTAAGTATCTGTATGAGCCTTTAGAGAAGGACATCAATTGCTCCTATAATTGAAGAAGGCCCTAAATATTTCAGAGACAGCAGCCAGAAGAAGAGGATGTGTGTGCTGTAGAAGACATACTTGGAGAACTATGAAAGTAGGCTGGGGGTGGAGCAGGAAAAAGGGCAGACTACCCACAACTTTCCTACTTCTCCCTCAAGAAAAGGAGTCAGAGGGTAGAACACTGAAGTAAATCTCTTACCTCCTCATCCCCTAGCCCCTTGTCCTTACCTGGATTTAGCAAGGCATCTTGAAAAGCAGTAAGGCTTCCCAGCTGAGAAGCATTCCTGGCTGGCAAACAGCCTTAGACAAACTGCTGGTTGCTGCTTAGTTGGCAGTTTGAGGCACACTGCCCTGCAAAACAGGACTAAGGAAACTTTGAAAGTTAAGCATAGTTTTCACCCTTCTTCTCTGTGCAAAATGTATGCCAGAGCTTTTCTTTGGATGAGGACAAGGTAGTGACCTGGCACAAGGTACCTGCCTCATCCCCTCCTGGCACGCAAGAGAAAGAAGAAGCTGTAGACATTTGAAAGTGGAAGAGAAGAAAAAGGTACTTTGTTCCTAAACAGACTTTTGAATGTCTGGTGAGACAAAAGCTGAGGGAACCACACATCTATGGTACAGACAAGCTATAGGCTTTCACAGGCATGGTGAGAAGATGTTAGGAACAAATGCACCTCTCAAGTGATGGGTAGCAACTAGTAAGTATTTGCAACAATATTCTCATATCCAAGAATAAGTGCCTTTAAAAAGATATCCAATAGATTTTTAAGAATAAATGTAGAGTGGCAAAATAGTATTGCCTCCAGCCAACTTAAAATTATAAAATGCTAGTGACTCATATTTCATGATTTACAGACCACCCGCTTCTACTCTTACTGATGAAATTATTCATTAAAACAAAGCTCCAGCTAGATCAGCCTACTGGTTTTACTCAATAATTTTGGGAAATGAGGTTTGGGTGTCTGCAGGAATTGGACTGGAAGCCCCTTTTTTCTGTTTAAAGAGAATAATATTTATAGCTTTAAATGCTATCTCAATTTAAATGTTATAATGTTTCACAATCATGTATTTAAACACAGAAATCTGTTTATTTACCCAAACAAAACAGAGGAAATGATTCCAGCCCTCAGGTTTTGAATTCTCATTTAAATACGTGAACATCAGTCCACAATTGAGATGTTTGTGTTATCTATGTACCTCCAAAATACTCATATTTCATAGGCTTTTTCACATTAATATTCACCAACAGTATCACAAAAGTTCTTTTTCTTTTACATAACTGTAAGCAACAGTAATTCTAGAAACACTAGAGAAAAAAAAGCATAGCAATGTCCACAGTTACAAGAAAAAGTGCACATTACTTGGTCACAATCACAGTCATTACTTGGAAAACTATATGTAACAAGTAGATATAAAATATCACTGATGCCTTAAACTCATTGTCAAAAACGGAATTACATAAAATTTTGTACATGAAATAAGGCAAATTTAGGAATGCACAAGAAACTTGTTATTCAACAGAAGCTAAACAACAGAACAGATAGTACAGTAAGCATAAACTAAAGTACTTTTTTCTATATACTTAAAAATAAGCCTGCCGTAGTGCACAAAGAAAACACCATTAATGTGTAATCAATATTATAAAATAAGAAATAGAGGGGTTGGGAAGAGTGGGGGAGGGGAGAGAAGAGTTTTATTATAGTTGCAGCTGCATCCATTTAGAGTTTTGTACAGGTTTTAGCTAGGCCTGGGAATTATACAAATCATACCAGAAGTGTCCATGACCTTCCTCCGTAAGAATTTTGTTTAAATTAAGGAAAACAAAATAAATACACACAAGAGTGCAAAATTTCAGATTGTCACTTGCAACCTCTTAACATTCATCATCTACATCCAATCACAACTAGAGGGACTTGTATAGGACAGCAGCAGTGATCATGGAGTTAGATGAGCTCACCGTAAGAAACCAATTTATCTTTTTTTTTTTCTCAATGATATGTCTTTTTTAAAAAACCTTCAACTCTTTATTAATTGCTAGTAAAGCTGCAATATATTACAGAATGGAGTTGAGAATGGTATGAAGGCAGGAAATGCATGCTTCCTTTGGAAGGTATTCCATAGATGACAATTTACAGTACACGGGGGAAGAAATATCCAGCATCAAGAGTTACTCGTTGTAGAAAGAATATGAAGTTGGGGAGAAGGGCACAGTCAGGGGTTCAAGAGAGGAAGGGGGGACTTACAATAGCTCCTCAAAACATTTTCAGGACCAGTGAAAAAGTTTACCAAAGTAAAAATGAAAAATCTTGAATGAAAACAAAAATCTTTTGTTTTGTTTTTTATAAAAATTACGTTTTTTTAAAATACAAGATCCTTTTAATTGCAATTGTGCCCTGTAGCAACAGGACATTTGGCAACGTTTTGCCATATACTGCAGCTTTAAGTCCAATGAGTCAGTATCACATTCCACTAATATTGCACTTGGATCTTGAACCACTGTTTTTTTAAACCATCACAGCATCTTCCGTTTCCTCCACTTGTTAGAACGAGTTAATTTCTAGCCACTTTTTCGATATTTATGCTGACACACTAAAACAAAAGCAATAGGCTGGACACAGTAAAGTACCTCGGAAATACCAGAGGTCGAAGTTCACTTGAAGCACCTTTACACATCACTTTATGGATCAAGAACAGAGTGGCATTATGGTAATTAACTCTCCTAAAAGCCTGTGCAGTAACTGAAGTGTGTGCTCTGGGAAATCAAAATGTCATTAGTGGAAACTCTGAGATAAGACCAGGCCAGTGTGAAGGTCACATGACTCAGTTCTGCTGCAAAATAAGGTTTTCCAGTTCATCTGCAGAACGCAATAAAAATGCGGCTGATTCTCGATACCCTGCCACAAGCTGCCTCACTGCATTTATTTCAGTTGGACTCAGCTGGGGTCTAGAGCTTGAACTACTGGAGGATCCAGAGCTGGTTGCTAACTGCCTCTTCATACTGAGATCTGTTGGACCTGCAGATAACAAAGGAAAAGAAAAGGAGCTTCACATCAGCTGCCAGAGACTTTTCACAGGTTTGTAGCTACAAAATGCAGAGTAGCAAAATCTGCTCTCAGCTGAGTGCCAGTGAGAAGTAGCAGAAACAAGCAATAACCATTCAGTTACCAGTGGCCTTGAAAGGAATCACAGCAATTTATATTTATATATAACGGACACCCTTTAAGTTCTACTTACATAACACAAGGGGCAAGTCCACTGCCAGCAGAAAATTAGCTTCTGCAGGGGGTATCCCAACAGTGTAAGCCACTTGCAGCCAACACTGCCCTGGGATCTGATGCTGGTGAGCAGGCAGAGGGTTCATCTCGTGTGCCTCCTCCAGCTCCAGCTGCCATAGTAGCCTCCCTGGCTATCTGCACACTTGCAGTTTTTATCACAGAATATCAAAGTTACGTTCTCTAGATATCTTTTTTCACGTTTTATGCTTCAATCACCATGTGGCCAGATTGTGAAACCCTTATAGACGTAGATAAATGGTCATTCACTTGACTAGCCCTGACGCCATGTGACACTTATATAAATAGCTGGTCATGAATGAGATTAGGCTGGTGACAATCTGGCTGCTACACTGAGGAGTACACTATCATTGGTGGGGGCTGCACACAGCTGGCAATATATTGGTAAGGATCTTGTAAGGCCTGAACACTGACAAGAGAATCTGCAGCAATCACCATGTTGCATTGGCAGCTTATACCAATACGCTTAGCACTTTTAATTAAAGAATATTCTCAAGACCATGTATGCTGCGTGCAGAAGATGGCACTCCTGAAGTCAGTCTGCAGGTTACCACTATCGGCAAAACCGTCTGCCATCATGAAGTTTGACTTTGTGTGGAATTTCCCTGGTCGTTTGACCATAGTTATTAATCAGCTAAGATGCATGGTGCTTTGATGAGATGTTTGCACTTTCCACTTAGCACAATAAATTTTTTCTTCCTGGAGTGTAAATTTGGACAGGTAGAATTTGAACTGAGGACTGAGTTTATTATCTGCAAATCTATAAAAATACTGCTCATTCACTTTGACGGTGTAGCAAATCTATACTTCTGGCAGGGAGAAGATCAGACTAGCCTGATCTTAATCTTAATACTCCCCTGGATATTGGGATCAAGTTATCCAAAGCAATGTATCTTGTTTTCCTATGAGAAAAATGTCACCGTTCAATTTCATGTGGACAATGTATGTCAATGCCAAGGCGTTCTCAGCATTGGCTCACTGGTTGGACCTTGCTTCCTAAAAAGACTGGAATAATTTTACAATTTAGCATATTCACCTGTAGAATACAGAACACACCAATTTGTGCTCTAGAGGTTCTAAATAATCCCAACAGAATCACAAGATTCAAAAGCAGACTTGCTAACTTAAGCACTAACGGAAAGAGATGTACTGACTTCCAGAAGCTGAAGATCTGGTCATAAACCTTACTTATTTTTCTTTCTTTTATGTTTATGCAGAGATACGGCTGAGACCACAAAGAACGTGGAGATTGCCATGTCCTCACACTCACTGAAGTTAATGAAAATCTCCCCTTGAGTGAATGAAAGCAGAGCTGGGACTATGAAAAGAAACTACTCAAACAGAAAGGGTCCTATTAGATCTTATTTCTTACTACACAACTAGCATGAACAGCACTTAGCCTTACAACTGTATTATCCAATTTTACACCGGCATAAATGAACTGACTTTTAAATGACTTCCAGTGTACAAAGGACAAATAAAAGGACAATTAGCTCAGTGAATTTGTTTCAGTGTGACAGCACACTGCAGGGAAACGATCACAGTGTGAAGAAGCTCAGAGGATACTTCTAAGTAAAATCTTAACCCAGCACAGAGAAGAAGGGTGTACAAATTATAAAGCCAGCTGGACTGAATGGTTGTAAGAAGCCATTAAAGACTTCTATATTTATTGAGGCGGTAGTGAAAAAGCTGCCACTGACATAGTGAGGGCATTGAGCTCCATATGAAGCTACTTTAACTTTTATGTTCTTTCCTTGGCTCTTATCCATGTCATAGCCAAAAACACACACACAATATATGGCAGAACAGAGCTTCTGCAGCAGAGCACATCTTTTCCTGAAATGAAACTGAAGGACTTTTCTCATTGGTAATCCAGATTTTTAAGTGATTGAATAGGATATTAAGTTTATTTCACTCGTAAGTAGAAAATACACAGAAATGTGCTTGCTTACATGTCTGAGGTTTTCCTTAAAAAAATTGATGACACAAAGTAAAAGCACCACTCTGAAAGGAAAACTAGGAGAAGACCAGATGTCCAGCATGCATAAATCACTGTAACTCCTCACAAGTCTATAGGGTCACAGTCATTTACACAACGTGAAGATCTGGCCCTGTATTCCTAGATGTCCAGATTAACTATCATGAAGAAAGTTTTTTAACTCTTCAGAATATGTATCTTTGAATCCCTGAAGGTACTGGAAATAAAGTTTTGTGCAAGTGCAAATCTGCAGTCTGCATACACAAGGAACCATTAGGACCCAGAACTCTTGGTCTGGGAGACTTCTGTTGTGTACTGAGTTCTTGTATACAAAGGAAATAAGAAATCTCAGATTTTAACTTACCCCAGCTACTCCAAACTACTTGATTTTTTTTTTTATTTCTATAACTAGGAAAACAGGATTTTACGTCACTCCCCAACTCCTGCCTTGTGCTTAACAAGTCCCAGTGCTGTCCTCCTTCCCCTCAAAGAAAAGCCCCCTGAGCAAAAAAAGCAAAGAAATCTGCACACGCAGGAAGTGTTTATGGCTATGGTTTCAGGACAGTGAGTACCCCTGTGCCTTTTCAAGGAAGGGAAGCTGCATGTGCTGGCAGAGAGCTGAACAGAAAGAGAACAAGCCATGCTTGATGTGGGGATAAGGTTTTTAGCTCTTCTTTTAATTATGTTATGTGACCCCTATGCCTCACCTCCAAAGCTTGCCTATGACAGCCCAAGCTTTATATCTGGGAGAATACCTCACTCAGAGAGTAGCCCCAGGATGTATTATACTGGTCTCAGCTTTTAACAGCTATGATAGACACTCACTGGCAGTATTACTGATTCTTAAAGGTAGTCCAGGCTGTTATATGCTAAAAATGGTATAACTTATCTGTAGCTTCATCAGTCATACCTGGTCGTTCAGAAAATAAGGAATAAATGCATCTTATTCTTACAGCGTAGATTTTTGCTGTGCAATTTTATGAAAATCAGCTATTGAAACACAGGAACCTAAATCTTACTCATAAATATCCACTACATTTCTTCAACCAGACAAATAAATCACAGGTATTCTGAAGGCTTAAAATAGCTGGTTAAGGTAGACACTTCATGTACCTCTATCTCTAGAAGCCATCACTACTGATGACTAAATCTGGAGAAAGCTGAACAGCTTCACCACCATTTCTTTTAATTACTGTCCTTACTTTAAATAGAACTATATCCTTAGTGTATTTAACATTATTTATTAAGCTGCCCGTCTTCACAGGAGCAAGGAAGTGTATCCTTATACAGAGGGAAATCTGAATCTTTTTGCAATGAATTTTGCAGTGTCAGGTTTCTCCAAGGTGATACTGCACATTTTAGCATACTGCTTCCTATCCTGGAAGGACTTCAAGACAATTAAAATTCTTGCTTGCAAACATTATCAGGTTCCACAATGTCTGTGTGTGCAAGCAAAGATTAAGTATATACCGCAGAGATGAAGACAGGTTACTTATTTTTATTTATTTATTTCTCTTAGTGCATACTATTATAACTCACAGTTGCTACCTCCCATGTTTTTATAACAGCACAACATTCTCTTAAGCAGTGGGTTAAACAAATTGCTGATACAGATCCTTTCTTTTATATTCTTTCAGAAGACTGAAGTATTGTTCCTCTGCCTCTTGCTAAGGCCACCCGATCAACACTTTAACACGGGAATATTTTCCATTTACCACCTCAGTCCACTTACATAGACCTAATTTCCCCTGTGAGGTGAAACTGTTCTTGTTGGAACCACATCAGGCTGAATATGAGAACTCTGAAAACCCACTCTTCATGTGCTAGACAATCATTTATCAAATTAGCTGCTAGGAATATCTGTCATTAAATACACTGTGGGACAAATGGCTTTTCTGTAAATTGCAAGACTTAAATGGAACTAGTTATTGCCTCATGCACTACTCATTAGCAACATGATTTATATCAAATTCCAAAATATGGGTCAGATGTAGATGTGCTGTTACTGATTGCTTAGACACTATCAACTGCCTCAGCAAAAATCCCTTAAGAATTGTATGCTGTCACTGGGTAGCTACCAATCTTATAATTAACAACTACTGAAAGAATAATAAATGTGTCAATGACTTTCAAAATGGTTATCACTATTGCAGATAATAATTTAGAATAACAAAAATAATTTTAAAAAGCTACATGTGCTTAAGCATCTATACTTCTACATTTTCATTAAGTTAGGCAACCTTTTTCATCAGTGAAGATGTAAAAAGGAGTGGCACTTATTTATAGAAAAATACATCTCCTCATGCTTTGAAATCTCTCTTGTGTATCTTTTCTATTGCACCTGTTCTCCTCTCCCATTTTTTGCTCCATGAGTGCTTTAGAAGTGAGTACGTGCTAGATTCTCTTACACGCCAATAAAACTAAATAGAAACAACTATCAAAGTATGCTACTTTTTCCAAATCAGATGTATTTATTATTGCAAGAATGTTTTATTGTGATATTATGCATCTGTCAATGTTTCTTTTCCTCCTGCCTTCAAACAGAGAGCAGATGTGCCTAAAACTATTGTTTCAAGTAGCAGGAGATGTCAGATCAAGAGAACAGGGACTAATAAATTGGACCTTTTAAGCTTCTTCCTCCCTTCTACACCTTTCCCTCTGGAAAACATACCTTCAGCTAGTTTAGATAGCAGAAAAAACTGCTGTGTTGCCTGAGGAAAGAGACATGAAAACACAGAAATGCCTACAGCCATGGAACATCATGCATTTTCAACAATCAGCAAACACATTGGTTTGTGATGAAATGATTATGTCAGGTCCTCCAGTAATGTTTCGTATCCACCACAGGAGATTCATTATGTGGCATACACCTGTCTTGCCTTAATGGCTGTCTCCTGAGCTTGGTGCAAAGGTAGAAAAGCAGGATACTGCCCAATATATCCGCAGACATTCCATCTCCATTCCTATGGGGGGAGCAGACTAATACTTGCATATGCCATGTATCTGATAATTTGTAGAGAAGGAGGAAGCGGGGAGAGGAATGTTGGGATGATCTTAATATAGAATTCAGCCAGCACTCCCCAGCGAGAAATTTCCGTCTTAGCCACAACATAGGTCAAACCATTTAACTTCTCCCGACCCCACATTTTGCCTTTTTTAAATGGGACTAAACACACTCTCCCAGGTTCCTAACTCTACCACTCTTGTTCTGTGTCTCTTCATGCCCCACGCTCCAGCTGTGTTAGAGACAAGCTGTTTTGTCTCTCCCCTCTCTCTCCATTTTGATGTCATCAGGGTAGCACTGAGAACACAGAAGACTGTGCAAGAGCAGAAGTATAAAGAAGAGCTGGAGAGAGCAACCACAGCAAAAGTCCCATTCAACCCCTACATCATGGCCAGCCATGCTGCGGGTAACCCAGTCAGCACTTTAAGAATTAGCTACATACTGGATGTTCTCAGCTGGACTTTATTTTCCCCTAGTTTATTGGCAAGAAGCCTCTCCTGATCATGCAAATGCCAAGATTTTACAGAAGGTTACAACTTCACCAAATTTGAGGGTGCAGAAATGAGGCACCCTCCCTACTGTCACATGCAAAAGCGGACAAGAGTGCTTGGCCTTCCTCTCCCGCCCCAGAGCAGCACAGCCATGCTGATCGCTGGGGCGCAGCAGCATCAGCTCCGGGAGCTTCCCCCAGCTACCCCATTGTCTTCAGCAGGGCTGCACTGCCTGAAGGACTAGGACACAGTAGGACCAGGAGGGCTGATTTGCACATGGGTAAGAGGCCTGGCTAAAGCGGGGAATGGCTGGGAGACCACAGCCCTTCTGGGCCTCTGGAAGGGAGCAGCAGGGAGAGGTGAGAGGTGTTGTGGGAGTCCGGCAGCTGCCAGCTGGATCATGGAGCCATTGGTCATGGTCTGCAGGCCCACCTGTGGGAGAGGAGGCTGAACGAGAAGCCTGCCAGGGCTCAGGATCTGCTTGTGGTGTAAACATAGAATCACAGAATCATGTTCAGATTCGGCAGGAGGACTCACCTGAGCTGGAAGGGGACTGGACGTTTGTGGTGCCTGGGATGCAGTGCTGAGTTGCGGCTGTGGTGGAGGTAGGCTGCAGGTCTGTGTAGAGAAACGGAGACACAACAGCTGCTTTGTCTTACTATGACATGAGGGCATGTCCTGAACAGCCAGTCTGCCATCAGGTCTGAAACACCCTCTCTTTTTACACACACAAAGGGAAATGACTGACGTTTCTGCCTAGAAAACCAGGCAACAATGCAGAAGAAACAGCCCCGAATCACCTCCAGAAAACTGAGGAATGGCAGCAGAAACACTCTCCACACCTCTTAGGGAAAATGGACAAATGGCTGTGGAGAGCAAGGCTCCAAAAAGTCCACCCTGGCTTCAGAGAGTGCTGACAGCTGACAGTCATCGGGAGGAGGACGGTGACCCACTGGACAGAAACACATGGGGAGACAGGCTGATCCCACTCTGTCGGGGAGGCTCAGGCAGCATGCAGGGACTTGAACAGCTTCTGGCAGCAGCAAGAGATTTTGCTCCCCACAAAGCAGCCTGTCTCCTGTCTTCACCCTCCTGCCCTCAAGCTGGGCATCCCTCCAAGCTCAGTCCAGGTGTGATGGAGCAGGGCCAGCTGAAGCCTTTGTGGCTGGCTAGGAGCTGACAAGCAAATTTCGTTTACACCCACTGGGCTACCCCACCTTGGACACTCTCCGTTCAGTTCTGTAGCAGGAACTGCATTAGCCTTAAAAAAGAGTGCTGTGGAAATCCACCCTTCTCAAAGAGTAGCTCTCCCTTAACATCTACAACAATCAAGGACAACGTGCCCAAAGGCTTCTCCCCAGCCCATGTACAGGCTGATAGAGGCTCTGTCAACCCACGCATTGCTTGGTGATGGGCTGAAGCTTTCCAGCCAAGCTTGCTTGGCCTAAAGGTTTTAAAAGCAGTGGAAAAAGAGACCTTGGTTCTGTAAGCCCAAGCTTTTTCCTGCTCTGCTTTTTTCCTGCCCACAATAAAGGAGGGGTCACTGTACAAGCTGCTGCATTCTGCTTGCTCATATTGAGCAGTTGCATGAAGGCTTGCCCCATACAGTTGTGTAAGGAGCTAATTATGGTTCTGTAATTAGCCATGTGGAAGGACAGGCTGAGGAGGGAAGCACTGCAACAGCAGGCACAGAGAGGTCCCTGAGGCAGAGCCACCAAACAGTTGGGCGAGCAGATAGCTCAGTCTGTAAGATAGGATCAGAGTAGGGATGAACTTTATAGGGGAGGAAATAACCAAATTAAATGAGTCACAGCATACAAAATACATGCATCGGTTGGACTACCAGATAGGCGAGCTAATTGGACATAGTCATTATATTACTGTGGGGGAAGGTCCAGAAATAGGTATTCAAGCAGTGAGTTTTAGCTAGTTTTTGCAATTTCTTTTTTCTGTTTTAGCAGATACACAAAACCAGACTGTATTTGTTTATACACACTTCCTGACTGAGGTGTATATTTATTTTTACACTAGGAGAACATTTGTAAACGTGACAAGAACATTTGATGGGTTACTAAATTGAAAAGGAAATGCCATCTTAAATTACTTCCTAGGTCCTGAAAACAATTCGCAAGCAAATATCCTGTTCTCCAGAGAGGGAACTCATTAACCATCATAACAGCCTTGCATATGTTCAGAACAAGAGTCCTTGAAACAGAGTAACGACTGCAAACAACTGTCCTGTGAGGTCTGTCAGGAGGGCAATGGTTACCCCTCTCAACTGCAACTCCATCCTCTCCCCTTAGTCTACAAATGAAAAAACAAATATCCATGGACATATCAGAGAGGATTGACAGTTCTCAAAGAACTGGCCTCCATGTCCTCCCATTTCTCCTGTAGGGAACCCAGCTAATGGAGCCAGAGCACTTTACCCCTCGATAGCCAAGAGATAATTAGGTTGGCTACCGATTGCTTTTGTGTCAATGAAACTAAGAAATTGATGGAGTTGCCTTTCCACAACTTTCCTAATGATCTTCCTGAAATGGCAGGTGGGTCACAAAATCAGTAGCCTGCTAGATTGTTAGCATCAACAACTGGTTTCCAGGTGCTGGCACACAGACTTTTGGTTCGTGGAGCTTACGTGCTTTGGATCCTGTAGGATCCCTGTGGAGAAGATGGACACCTTTGCATAATGCTCCAACTAGGCACAACCATCTGGGAGAGGTGCAATGATTTACTAGTCTTCCAGCGTAAGAGGACATACAGACAAAATTTTCCAGTGCAAGCAGGGAAAGGCAAGGAAGAAGAAATCTTTGAGCATGTCAGTATGCAAACCGTTAAGCATCCACTGGTCCCTTCACCCCAGCAATGTCACACAGGGAAACACAGTGCACTGCACAGTTCCCTGGCTGTGTTAGCTGTGCAGCATCTGGCAGATCCTGAATAACCACTGTTTGTCCTGAAAAACCCATCTTGAGGTTTAATTGTGAAAAAACACCAGAGTCCTCTACATTAAAGGTACAAAGAAAATGTTGCTTCTAATCAGAAAGCAACACTAATTTATGATGTTGAATTTGTACCTCATTTTTTTAAAATTGCATGCTGAAGTGACACAGAATACTTTTGCCTAAATCCCACAATTCACTGAAAAATGGGAGTTATGAAAATGTATCCTATTACAAGAGTTTTGAAGGGAAGAAGTACACAAAACAGTTGTGATTCCTCACAGTTTAAGATTATGTAAAACAGGACAATTTTGATGGCTTCTGCTGACAAATAACACATGGGGAGTTTAATCCTACTCTTAGTTGGGTGAAAGAGCAAATGCCAACTGTTTTCAGTGGGAACTGGCTCGGATCTTCTCTGGCCGCAATGTAAAAGACAATTTTAAGTTCTTGTGCATTTTCCCAAGAAACCAGATTTCCACGGCCTGTCTTACTCTTATGAAAATATTTGATCAGAGATCATATTCAGTACCTCAGATGTGTTTTTCATGCATATGGAAACAATTGTAATCATCATTCACTCTCTTTAAGTCAAAGACTTTTGACAACTAAAATATTATCTTTTTAAAGCCTTTTGAAAACGTAATGCAAATCATTCACAGACCTTTGAGGATTTTGGCGGTGGGGGATGAGGAAGCAGACATGACTGAAGGTTACCAGGACACTACATACCAATAACTTCTTTCAGGCTTCAGCCCTGATAGCATTTTGAAAATTGCTTAGCATGTTGAATATAGAGGCTGTAGCTGAACAATTACCATCTTGCCCAAGTCAGCCCATGTACCTGAAGCAGCACTCTCCTCAGTCAGAGAGGGATCAGCCAAGACAAAAACCCAGGGATTTCTGTCCTCTGAGACATTTTTTAAATACCATTCTCAGAGGCAAGAGACCCTCAGGCTTCCAGAGTAATCACTTTTCTCTGACAGACAGACAGTACCTTTGTTATCAGAATGGACAAACCTTTTCCTTTGCTCTGAATTTGTATGAAATCAATATGGGGGACTATTTCAAACAAATAATACCATTCGCTTACACCATTTGTTTGGTACAAAAGCTTGCTAATGTAAGAAGAAAGGAATGTTTTCTAAATGAATGACACCGCTGTTTTTTTCAGAGGGGCATACAGCCTCATGGTGACACATAATTACCCGCATCATTTTTAGTTTAGAGTATAGATGGATATGCTGATTTCTCATTTAACACTTGGTATGCCAGACCCTTATCTGCAGTAAATTGAAGTAGCTAGAGATACCATGTGACAAATCTAGGTCAATTCATTTGTGTTACAAAATATGCAGTTCAGTGTTTTCAAACTCCAGCCACAAAGATACTAATGGCCTCACTTTGTGATCAGTATAGGAGAGGACAACAATGACAGTATAGGTCCTCACAAAGTCATGCAAATTGACTGAAGATCTAACCGGGCATTTTTTTACTCAGCTTTGTTAGTCTTCAGGTTCGGTCTCGCCCTGTTGTGAATTAGTCCCTTGAAACTGAAAGGAGACTAGCATGCAGTGAGTAAGTATTTTGCTCAGCAGTAGTTGTTTGCAGGATTGTGTTCCTGCTCATTATTTGATAATAGCCTATGGATTTTGAACCCCTTGGACTAGCTTTCTGTAAGCAGGGGGAAACACACATATGAGCACATATACACACAGGCACATTTTGTAAGGGAACTCACCACTGCTAGAAGCATCGTTGAGATTTAGCAGCCCACCTCCGAGCCCTCTGTAACTATGGTAACTGTAGGTCCCATTGCCATTGATGTACAACACCTCCTGTGTGCTGGAAACAGCTGATGTTGAGTAAGTGACCTGGGCTGGCTCCTGTTTGTACTGCTTGTCAGCTGGAGCAGCCTCATCCTGCAAAAACAAGGAAAGGTTTTGAATTATCATTACATTTTACCTTGCATGAGAGGGTCTTTTCCATTGTTTAGATTCCACATCTATTGATTTTAGAAAAGTAAAATACATGTTAAACAAGCACAGATGTGCTTCTGATTGACCAAATATCAGCTGAAAAGACACAATGGAAATAAGCAAGAATGCAGGTTTCCTACAAATCTGAGAATATTCGTTTGTTTGTGCTCCACAAGCCAACTATACTGTTTATCAAAGGAGAAGACACATCCCCTCACCCTGAAGAGCTCACAGTCGTCTGTAAAACCCAACTCTGTTCACAAATAGCATGGGAAAGGATAGAAAAAAGCCACTACTTTCTGAGTACAGGAGTGACTCTTCTGAGCCAGAGAACCATATCTTTCTTGATAAGACAAACTAATACAGAATGCACCGACTACTTCTTTTGATGTATCAGCCTCAGAAATGACAGAAGGAATAGAGGAACGGAATAAAACAATATTTCCTATGTTTGCAGAGGGCTGAGTGAGTGTCCATCCACACAAGGGCCAAATGGTAAGGATGCCTCTACAAACATGACTTGAAAGCCTTTGTAACCTGTGTGTGAGCAGCAGCTGTTTGTACACCATGAGTTCCCCTCAATGCTCCCTGTTTGCCTCTTAGATGCTTGCATAATATGGAACAAGATTTAGCACAACAGCCCTCCAACTTTCCCCTAAAGCAGATCATGTTTCAGGTGAAAGTGTATTTTTCCCCATCTGCACTTACCGTAGCTACTGCTTAGAGCACCTCACCTCCACTCATGATCAGAGAACACCCCTGTGGCAACTTTAGTAATGACACAAGTGAAAAAAAGAAAAGCATTAAGAGAAGATTTAATGCAATTTAGAAGTGGGAAACAAGGAAAACTATCAGTGTGTGACTGCTCAGCCCACCACAGGGACCTGAGTGCTAGAATTCCTGATTTAGTCTGCAAATGTACTTGAACTTTTTCTTTGTTTCTCTTAACTTGTAGACTTCTTAATGGGCCTGATTTTACACTTTTATCTGATGAAAATATATTTCAGTGATTTCAAATAAAATGGATCTATGGAAGATCAGTATTTAAAAAAATAGAGGTGAGAATGTTTTCAGACCTTTTCAGAGTACTTAACTGAAAAATGATGTTAGAATTATCTCCCCTTTGTGTAAGATTTTGTCCACTTTATGCCTTTCTGTTCTGCACAACCCTTTTATTGTTGCTAAATATACCAAACTTATTAAGAATGCTATAAAATATCTCAAACCTTTCTTACAGACTTTAGTTAAAAATAAGAATGTATATACCAGCACAGAGGGATCAGATAATTCAAACAGTGTCCAGTCAGTGTGTTGAAGCAAAAAGCATTCTGAAGCAGCTTTTCTGCCTGCATTAGGAACAATCGCCAGTTCCACCTCTGAAATAAGACATAACCAACTTTTCTGAGATGAAGATATCCCTGTCTTGTACATATTTATTGGTGAAAGAGACTTGGGCACAACTGAGATGACTCAGGAGAAGGTATATATATTATTAACAGAAATTTTAATATTTAATACAGAACACTGAACCATCAGATAATTAATTCCATAAACAATCAGAATGGGGCCTCTTGGGCACTAATATGAGCTGAGGCAAAGCTTTGCATTTTTGAGAGTTGGCCAAACTGGTCTCCTATGCGTTTTCTTAAGTAATAATAGGTGTAAACAAAGGGCCAAAATTGCAATGTATTTTTGCCAGGAATTCAATATCATTTACCTTTTATCTCCAAAGGTCATTGCTGTCTCTTATAAGAGCAAATGTATTACTTTCTCTGAGAAAATATTCACAAGCTATACAGTAAAGTTCTATCTTGGCAACAAAGCTTAACTCATCGTCCAAATCTTTAACACTCTCAAGGCTGAGATGTTCTGTACCCTGGTGTCTAAAACTAGATGATACTTCCTGCCATAGACTAACCCTGAGCCTCATTCTATTCTCACTAAGATCAGCAAGGGATCTTCTGCAAATTTATCAAGGACTGGACTGTGTTCAAGGGGTGCAGTGCAAAGGGGACTAACTCCTATAGCTGAGCAGAGTATCTCAGGGCCTGCTTATCCTGACTGTCTGGAACCCACAAATTTGCTGTCCTTTGCTGTCCTTGATTTTACATGTCCTCCAGAGCCCCTTTAGCCAGTGCACTGAAAAACTAACAGTGCGTTTCTTGCAGAGCTGATGCACTGAGCTTCTAGCAGAGCACAGCAAGCAGAGACTGCCCGGACGGCAGAGCAAGGGCACTTGGTGCACCTTGGTGTGTGCCAGCCCACGCGTTAGAGCACATGGCCAAGAAGTGGGAGACCCAGGTTCGGGCTCCTAGTTGCAATACACCGTGAAGAGGCGGAAAATTTGGGATGCAAGGTCTTTGCTAGCTGTGGTGAGGAGGGGACCTGAACTCCGAGCTGCTATCTCCTAGCAACCAGGCTCAAAGCAAAACTGCAGTGGGAGTTGTCGCTGAAGCTGTGCCACTGTGTGGAAGGAAATGCACAATTCATAGGGCCACAGAGATAGCAAACAAAAAGGGAGCATGACTCAGTTCCCTTTCAGAGAAGTGCTGCCCTGGGAGGCTTCCAGCCCTGCTCCCTTCCAGCTACACCCTAACACAAAACTCACAAGCTGCTCTGAGGTCAGGAATTCAAGGCTGGGGCTGTGCTGCCGAAGGGGAATCTTTGTATTACACTAATCACAGCCCTGTGCAACACCGTGGTGTGCCATGGGCTGGGGCTTGAGGTGGAGCCCAGGCACCCTGGTGGGGAAGGCACTCCTCGGAGGGGTGAAAGGGGTTGAGGAAGATGCTGAGCCCAGGACTCCTGGTTCTGCATATGAGCTCTAATCTCTCAGCCCCTATACAAAAGGTGGCTTCTTCTAAATATTACATATATTTTTAAAGAGCAGACCAATCACCTGTACCTAAATAATGAATAAGTTGCTGTACATTTCAGACCTGAAATATGGGCCTCATCTAAGTGCTTAGCTCAGTGCTTCAGGATGACTAAATGCAGAAGCAAGGCAGGATTTTTGGCGAGCATTTTCTGAGCAGGCTCAGGTGTCAGCCCTACTGGTAGGATTACGAACCATTAGCCTGGTCCCAGGGGGTTAGGCTTTACCCCTCATACATTCCCCTGGGATTTAAGCATTTTTCAGAAATGTTTTTTACTTCAAAAGGAAAAACTACGTCCCTTTTCCTTGTAGTCACACCAAGGATAAAGAAGCCAGGCTCTCTTTTTCTTGGGAGAGAGAACATGAATTTCGTATTTACTTTTGTATACCTGAGATTTATTCTGCACAGATTCATTCCCTTCTTTCTTTTAATCTTAATTGCCTTTGCTTTTAAACTAATGCAGAAATTAAACAAACATAGTGTTGTTCCAGAACTGAGATTTTTTTAATATTCTGTGTTAGTCACTCAGCACTTCTGGTTTCCCCCTACATTATGTTTACACTAGAAAGGCTTAATAATTTATTTAAAACATTATTTTAAAAATATTTTAATTTCATAATAATCACTAACAATTAACTAACTATTTATTAATATGTTTGACCTAACTACCTGCTCTGACTGATATTCTGAGCAGCTAATGAACAGTTTAAAAGGAAATACCATCCACAGCAACACAGATGCTAGTGCAGAATTTCATGACTGTGGTACAGAAAGTGAGGCTCACCAGCAGTGTCCCAGCCTCCTGTTCCCCATGCCAGTGGAAGCACAGCACACACATTTCTTTTCAAAAAGTCTGTCCTTCATGGAAGCAACTCTAACAATGCCATTGCTCCTTTTTGTTCTCCATCTCCTTCACCACCACCAAAATAATACAAAAAAGTGATAGCTTGTTAAAATAAAAAGCCCTGGCAAATCGGTGTTACATTGAGTTTTGATCCCATATATACATAAGTGTCAGAAATTCTGTGCATTCCCATTAAGAGAGAGCGGTGCTATCACCTTGGCTCCACTGTTAGCAATAGGCATTGCTAACATGTAAACGTAAATCCCAAAAGGGAGTGTGTATGCAAACAACTCACATGGACAATGCTATCTGACCATAAAGCTAACAAAACTTCTGCAACAAGAACATAAATAGTAATGTTCAAAAAATGGCAAAGATGGCAACATGCATTTAACTACTGCTTTCATGAAATGCAATGTCTACCAGACCGACAAATTAACATCTCTGAGAATGCCAGCTTTTAACTGCCCCTATATCAAGGTGATTTTTTTCCCACTCAATTAGAAAAGAGACAAAAAGGAAAATGTATTTTTGCCTCATGTTTCTTGATACTTTCTTTTTTGATATGTTAAACTGAAAAATGTGGATTGCTTGTTGTTCTTGTCAATAAACACTTCTGTTAGAATACCACTTTGAGGTTAGGAAAACTCAAATGCAGATTAGTCTTCAAACAGATAGGCAAGCCAGGGGCCCAATATTTGCATATGGTCTTCCATTTTTTCAGCAAAGGAAAAAAAATTCATTCACATGAAAAAACAAAACATGCTTTCATGTGCATTCGATATTTTTTTTAGCCTCAATAGCTTGTAGTATGGCTTTAGCAGGAAGGAGATAATGTTTCATATACTTTTCCCATTTGGAACCCACCAATTTATTTCTATGATTTTTGAATCAAAAGTAAAATAAATAGAAACACATGATAAAACCATGTAGCACTTTTCAAAGCATACCCAATTAATCCTTACAATACTCCTGTTAGATAGGACTTTTATCACTGCTTTTCAGATGGTGAGATTCTGGCAATAAAGGCAACCTTAAGCTAGCATTACCTAATATGTAAAGCACTTGAGTTCTGCAACCATAACAACATAACGGGCTTCTCTTTGTGTAACGTAATTTTTAAAATAATGGGAAGAAACTCAGGAGTTCCATCATGGGGCACCCTGCTGAATCTGCAGGGGGCTGTGGGGCTGGGAGCTCTCTGCCCATTTCAGCTCTTGTGC